TCTTATCTCCACACAAGTGCCAATAACATATGTGTGTTCCCTACCTAAAATAAATACATGTAAACTAATAATAATAAAGTTGGCCAATAAGTGGAGCTAGAGAGATGGCTTATTGGGTAAGAGCACTTGCTGCTCAATTGTGAGGAGTAGAGAACAAATCCCAGGATCTGTATCAAATAGTTCACAAACCTGTGACTCCAGCTCCAGGAGATTAGCCACCTGGCATCAGAATACACAGACACATCCATAAAATGTTTTAAAGTTATCCTGCCGGTCAGTGGTGGCACATGCTTTTAATCCAATCCTCTAAGAAGCAGAGGCAGGCAGATCTCTGAGTTCCAGACCTGCCTGGTCTACAAGAGCTACTTCCAGGACAGCCTCCAAAACCACAGAGAAAACCTGTCTCGAAAAACCAAAAAAAAAAAAAAAAAAAAAAAAAAAAGTTATCCAGCCAAAATTGAAAGCAATTGCTTGGTGGCGGCAGCTCACACCTTTAATCCCAGGATCTCAGTGAGTTCAAAGCCAGCCTAGTCTACAGAGCGAGTGCCAGGACAGCCAGGACTACACAGAGATATTCTGTCTGGAAAAAACAAACAAAAACTGAAGTTAAGCAGCCTGGTAGCAGCTCTTTCTCCTTCAAATGGCCATCCACTTCTGTGTAAGTTCTGATCTAAGATGTTAACACAAGTAAAGGCAGACCACATTAGAAGATAACAGAACCTCTGTAAAATAGAAATGAGGAGCTGGACAGATGGCTCAGCCTAAGAGTGCTTACTGCTCTTGCAGAGGACCTGGGTTTACATCTCCCCACTCACAGAGCAGTTCTCAGCTACCTAGACTTGCAGTTCCAGGGAATCTGATCCCCTCTTCTGGCTTCTAGGGGCTCCTAAATTCAAGTGTTAAACATAAATTCATACAAGCACCCATATACATACACGTAAAAATATTAAGTCTTTAAAAAAATACCATAAGGCTCCAAGTCTTAAGTCAGCACTGTCCAGTGAAATATAATGCAAGCCACAAATAGAATTGTACAGTTTCCTAGGAACCCATTAAAAATATAAGAGCAGCTGGGTGGTGGCACACACCTTTAGTCCCAGCACCTAGGAGGCAGAGGCAGGTGGATCTCAGTTCCTTCTAGGACAGCTAAGGCTGCACAGAGAAATCCTGTCTCAAACAAAACAAAAAGCAAAAAAAAAAAAAAAGAAAATCAGATACAGTTGCAGACATACTTGATATATAATCTTATATTCTACTGCTTTGGCTTGACATTAAATTTGCAAGTTTTGCTAGTTATTTGTACCTCACAAAAGGTACAAAATATATTTACATAATATGTATAAATATGTATTATTTACATAACATGTAAATAAAAGAGCAGCTGGGTGGTGGTGGCATACACCTTTAATCCCAGCACTCAGCAGGCAGAGGCAGGTGGATCTCTGTTTGAAGCCAGCTTGGTCTACAAAGTGAGTTCCAGGACAGCTAGGGCTGTTACGCAGAGAAACCCTGATTCAAAAATAAATAAATACATTCTCTTGTACAATATCTTGTTGGATATTATGGTTTACTTACATTTTTGTCTCCTTCCAGAATTTATAGTTTTCAGTATCATACTTAATATAATTTATATGTTAAAACAGACAATATAGGGATTTTTTTTTTTTTTTTTTTTAAGACAGGGTCTCATGTAACACAGGCTGGGCTCAACTTTGCTATATAGTTGAGACTGGTCTTAAACTTCTAATCCTTCAGCTCTATTTCCCAAGTGCTAGGAATTCAGGAGTATGTCACCACACCTGGCTCTGTAGGTATTTTGATTTTAAAGATTTTAAAACTTTTGATGTATATGTGTATGTGTGTGTTGGTGCCTGTGGAGGCCAGATGTTGAATTAAATAGAGCTGTGGTTGCAGGTGGTTGTGACCATGTGGGTGTTGGGAACTGAATTTAGGTCCTCTGTAAGAGGATCAAGTACTCTTGTGTTTTTTGTTTTGCCTTTGAGACAGGTTATTGCAGTATAGCTCTAGCTACTCACTCTGATACTCTTTATACAGTTCAGACTGGCCTGGAACTCATGGGAGTCCTCCTGCTTCAACTTCTCAAGTGCTAAGATTACATATGTTTACCACAGTGCTGAGAAAACCATAACCTCAGGAGGTTGAGGGAGGAGGATCTCAAGTTTGAGGCCAGACTGAGCTACATAAAAAAAAAAAAAAAAAAAAAAAAAAGCTGGTTGGTGTTGGCACGCACCTTTAATCCTTTAATCCCAGCACTTGGAAGGTAGAGGCAGGTGGCTCTCCATTTGAGGCCAGCCTGGTCTGCAAAGCGAGTTTCTAGACAAACAAGGCAACACAGAGAAACTCTGTCTTGAAAAACAAAACAAAACAAACTCCAAAGGATTTAGGGGAATATGGTTTTGGAAGTGCTTTCCTACAAAGATAAGGATCCAATATAAGAAACAGTGCTTTGGGCTTGCCAAAGGTAGAATTAAAAATATTTAGTAGATGGGCACTGTAGCACACACCTTTAATCCCTGCATTTGGGAGGCAGAGGCAGGCTGATCTCTGAGATTAAGGCCAGCCTGGGCTATATATTGAGCATCAGATCAGCCAGAGTTAAGTAGTGAGACTCTGTCTCAAAACCACAACAGAGGTATCTGGCAATCACATTTACATTAGTTGCCTTGATTAAATTGGGTGCCAGCAAACTCTTCAAATTTTGAATTGGTTAGAATCAGTATAAGAGAATTTTCTTCTGAAGTGTCTGGCTTCTGTGATCAACTTTAGTTCTGATGAATCCACAGCAAAAGTTTGACTCTACTCCCAGCTCCCAACCTCCAGAGGTAAGGAATGGCAAGAGGGGGTGGGGTGGGGGCAACAGTGGGGTGTAATAAGTACTTCTGACTGGTTTGCTTATAGGTATTTTTACCCAAGCCTTACCCTCTCCAACTTTTTTGGTTGTGTTTGTAAAAATTCACCTCTAAACTTGTAGTTTAGTCTCTCTACAAAAGTCCTCTTGCAGATTTAGTACTACTGTTCATTACTCCTTTAAATGCGTGGGGTCGCTACTAGAGTGTGGGAATCCTCCTGCATTGTTCAGGGCCAGCTCTCGTGGATATCTAAAGGTGCAGAACCTGCATGGAGAAATTCTTTTGGGGTCTTAAAGGGGTTTGAAAGCTAGGAAACTACAGATGAAAGGTGGGATCTTTAAGTTGCAATCAGCCACTAATCACACGACGTACACTCTGCTAAGGGTATCATCACTTATGGATACAAATATAAACATCATTTGGCCCCTTGTCTGCAGGCTCTCATCACCTAGTAAGAAAAAGAGGGTGCTCAAACTGTCTAGGCAAGAAAACAAACAGGCTGAATGCAAGTTGAGGGTCTAGAAAGATATATTCAAAGCCCTAACTCCAGACTAAAAGGTCTGGGTAAGGATTAGTGAGGTCTGTAATTTGTGTCACTTTACTGATGCCAGTTAACTATATTGGGAAAAGTACACTCCCTCCTAACTTCCACTGCCGAGGGACATCCCACCTACCGGTGCTTTTCTTTACAAGTTTCCAGAAATCTCTGGCCCGTTTTTGTCCTCTTTCCAAGAATGATCTATTAGGTGGTAGGCCAGTAGTAGTGTCAAGACAAGGGCCTGGCGCGTCACGTGGCCCCACAGCCGTTTTTTTTTTTTTTTTTTTTTTTTTTTTTTGTTTGTTTGTTTGTTGTAGTTCTGATTTGATTTAAACCAGGATGGCCTTGAAATAACACAGATTCGCCGGCCACTGCTTTCTGAGTGCTGGGATTAGAGGTGTGCGCCACCACACCCGGCTCAGGAATTCCCTAGCTTTAAGCCTGGCAACTCTTTTGGGAACAAGGTTCACCTGTCGCACAACGGGTGTCAGCACGTCGAATCTCACAAAGCCAATCGGCATCTGGGAATGAGGCCCTTCAGGGAGGCGTTTCGAAGATTGGTCCTTTCCACTCACTAGTCAGGGGCCAATCGTGGAGCATGCTCCATGTTGTGGGCCCGCCCATGGGCGGAGGGCGAGCGGAAAGTCGTCATAGTGCGGGCGTATTGTTACCTAAGGACGCGACAGGAGGTGGGGTGTGTTGATTGACAAGCATATTTCACCTACCGGGATCACAGAATTTGGCTCAGTGGCCCGCCTTAGAGGTGGGGTCTTGTTTGATTGCCAAGTAGAATTCCCCAATAGTATTCGAGTTCGGGGTGACGGGCAGGCTGGCTGACTAATGAATCCTCGGCGTGGCCGGCAGAGCTCTCCAATCGCCGAGCGGCGGGCCCCAGTCTGAGCGGCGATGGCGGCGGCAGCGGCGGCGGCAGCAGCAGCGGGGGCTGCGGGCGGTCGGGGCTCCGGGCCGGGGCGGCGGCGCCATCTTGTGCCCGGGGCCGGTGGGGAGGCCGGGGAGGGGGACCCGGGGGGCGCAGGGGACTACGGGAACGGCCTGGAGTCTGAGGAGCTGGAGCCTGGAGAGCTGCTGCCGGAGCCCGAGCCCGAAGAGGAGCCGCCCCGGCCCCGTGCCCCCCCCGGAGCTCCGGGTCCTGGGCCCGGTTCGGGAGCCCCCGGCAGCCAGGAGGAGGAGGAAGAGCCGGGACTGGTCGAGTCCGACCCGGGGGACGGCGCCATTGAGGACCCGGTGAGGGAAGGAGGCCGAGCGAGCGGGCCGGGTCATGCGAGGCCCAGAGCTCGGGCGGGAGGGAGGCAGGCGGGGGGTGGGGTTGGGCGGGGAATAACGTGGCTGATGGCGGGCCGGGGCCGTTCGTGAGCGTGCTGATGGGGCTTCGTGGGTGCCTAGGGTGGCTCTAGAGAAGGTGATTTGGCTTCTATTTTTGTGCTGTTCTCACCACCACCACCGTAATTACGACCCTCGCACGAGGCGAGGGAAATGGTCGAGCATAAATGGCTGTGGCCGGGCCCAGACAAAATGTACGGCACAGTCCCTCCCGTGGTTAACCTTCTGCATGCCCTGCTCACTCATTGTAGGAGCTAGAAGCGATCAAAGCCCGAGTCAGGGAGATGGAGGAAGAGGCTGAGAAGCTAAAGGAGCTACAAAACGAGGTAGAGAAGCAGATGAATATGAGTCCACCCCCAGGCAATGGTGAGTGAGTCGGCTATTGCATGTCCAGGTCCGGGTCTTTGAGTTGATTGGGGCGTTGGAGGGAGACCGGCAATGTGACATTAGAGGCTTCAGACCTTGAAGCCGTCTATCTTGAGTAATTCTTCTGGGCAGGTGCTGTGGTCATAGTCCATTGTGTGTTTCACTGACCTTTGTTAGACATGAGCCGTTTTGATGGTGATACTCTTGTGTCTTCCTTTGTCTCATTTATAAATGTGTTTCTCTTTGTTCTTAGTCTGTCTATACCGTTCTTGTGGAAATCGCCCGCTGGCGTTTGACCTTCAAGTCTAATACTTTTCCGTTAGAGATCCTTTAGTTAGGACTTAGAGGATACTGATGACTGGGGGGCTTCTTTAATCTAGAAATGTCAGAACTCGATCCATTCAGTTTTGTTCACTCTTGAGGCATTTCAGCCAAAGCAATTCAGTAGAAACTTGATTTGTGAAATGTAAATTCTTCCTGATTCCCCCCCCCCAAGGGAGTTGTTTCTTAAACGTATATTGAAACCTGGACACTGTTCTTGGTAATGGGTATAGTAGAACAGATCAAAATCTTAGCCTAATGGTGGTGGGGGTATATATATATATTGATCCAGCAGAAAATATGCTTGTTTAAATTTTTTTTTTCCCTCCAAGCTGGCCCAGTGATCATGTCTCTTGAGGAGAAGATGGAGGCTGATGCCCGTTCCATCTACGTTGGCAATGTATGTATTAGGAAGAGTCTGACTTGGTTTGCTTGGGTGGGCATTCTTATTTTTTTTTCCCTTTTTTTTTTTTTTTAAATGTTTGTTATATAGCCCATACTGGATACTGATTCAAAGTGATTCTCCAATCTCAGCCTCCTGGGCATTGCCATTAATAAGAGTACCTTTTTGTTTTTGTTTCTTGAAGACAGGATTTCTTGGTGTAACAGTCCTGTCTGTCCTGGAACTCACAAAGATCTACCTGCCTCTGCCTCCCAAGTGCTGGCATTAAAGGCATGCACCATCACTCAGCATAGGAGTGCATTCTTTTTTGTTGTTTGTTTGGGGGGTGGGGGTTGACAGTCCTGGCTGTCCTAGAACTTGCTCAGTAGTCAGTGTGGGCCTTGAGTTCACAGAGATCCACCTGCCTCTGCTTGGGATTAAAGGTGTAAGCCACCACACAGGCTTTTATTTTGGGTTTTCAAGATAGGGTTTCTTTGTCAGTATAGCCCTGATTGTCCTAAAATTCACTCTTGTAGAGTGGGCTGGCCTCAAACTCGGACCTGCCTGCCTCTGCCTCCCGAGTGCTAGGATGAAAGGCATATGCATCCTGGCAGGAGTACACTTATTTGAGGGAGTTATTTAGTAATTTTGAAAGGAATCTCTAGAGTTGGTTTTCAGTTTGGGGTTTGTGGGGGAAGGTTGTGAAGAGATAAATAAAGGTCATGAAATACTGATTCTAGAGTTGGAAGAAAGGGAAACAATATTTGATGTATCCAGACTACAGACATCTGGACAGGGTACCTTACCTGTTCAAGCAGGATTTTCCAAGTACTTGTACAATGTTCATTTCCTTAGGTGGACTATGGTGCGACCGCAGAAGAGCTGGAAGCTCACTTCCATGGCTGTGGTTCAGTCAACCGTGTCACTATACTCTGTGACAAATTCAGCGGTCATCCTAAAGGGTGAGTAGAGGAAGAAGTTGAGATCATTTTAGCTGTATAGCTTCAAATTCATACTTTTAATACCACTACCACTCTCTAAGCTGGGCTTGAACCCAGGACTTAGATCTTGCTGAGAATGTGTTCTGCTATTGACCTAGCAGTGTGGACTCATAGTTTTTATTTTTACTTAATTATTCTTGAGGTAAGAGCTTTTTTGTGTAGCCCTGGCTATTCTGGAGTTAGCTCTATAGACCAGGCTGGCCTCAGACTCAAAGATCAACTGCCTCTACCTCCTAAGTGCTGAGAGTAAAGCCATTCACCACTACTCCTAACCAAACTTATAGTTCATATTTTTTTATAGACTAGTAAACAACTGTTAAAACAAGTATTAGGCATCTCTGTATCATCCGTAGTTGTGCATTAAATTTCTTCAGCAACCAGATATTAAAGACTGGCACAGATGAAACTGTAAACTAGAAAGGGAGGGATGGCAGCATCTAGTTGGCACCCGGTAGTTATGTGTGGCTACATAGAAACCTGGGCCTTGTTACTTTTTACTTTTTTGTAGTGCTGGAGATTGAGGAGGGACTCAAGATGTATGCTTAGACTAGTCAACTCTAGCATGAACAGGCCTTGAACTTAGGTTCTACTTTCTCAGCCTACTGAGTAGGTGAGATTGTAGGTTCCCCAAAAGTGGTTAGACATTTTATACTGATTCTTAAATTAATCATTTACAAATGCTACCAAGTTGCATTCCAATTAGCTGTATTTACAAGTTGGGTTTAACCTTATTTATAAAGTCCAATAAAATGACAAATTATTTTTTTCTAGGTTTGCATATATAGAGTTCTCAGACAAAGAGTCAGTGAGGACTTCCCTGGCCTTAGATGAGTCCCTGTTTAGAGGAAGACAAATAAAGGTAAGCATAGTGCCTTGGCTGGGGATTCTGTGCAGATTCTCTACCTTGACTCCAAGGCTTTCTATCCTCTGCCCTTTACAGGTGATTCCCAAACGAACCAACAGACCAGGCATCAGTACAACAGACCGGGGTTTCCCGCGTGCCCGATACCGTGCCCGGACTACCAATTACAACAGCTCCCGATCTCGATTCTACAGCGGTTTCAACAGCAGGCCCCGGGGTCGAGTCTACAGGTCAGGATAGATGGGCTGCTCCTCTTCTCCGCCTCCCATGAGCCCTTAGGCTTCATTCTCTCCTGATCTGAGGACCCTGGCTCCCTTGTCCTCCTTTTGGTTTCCAGAGACTTGGTCCTCCTGCTTGTGCAGAGGGAGGAAGTAGTTGCAGGCCAGTTCAGGAGTCCAGTTCTGTGTTTTCTTGAGGAAAACCTGATGAGGGCAAAGTTGTGAGATGTTTCCTGCCACCGCTTTCTTCCTTTGGGAATTGATGCAGTGAAAGTGTTTATACTAAGTGATAAAGCCTCTGGTAGGGAAAGCTGTTCTTCCCAGAGTTGGGGAGGGGTCTAAGTTAATTCCTTGGAAGCATCCAGCTGCAGGCCCATCCTCCCACTGCCCTGTGGGAGGATTGAGATGCCAGTGGGTCCAAGGTTAGCGCCTGATTGGGCCCAGTGGCAGGCACCATATTGTGGCTGTGCTTCCCTTCTGTCCTTGCATTTAAATTTGTATGTTAGATAAACCCTGCCTTTTCACCAGATAGGGCTTAAGAGCTGTGGAGACTGGATAAACAATGGATCCTTTTTCTTGTCACTTGGTGTCTTAGTTGTACTTCCTACCCCCCCCCCCCATTTCACCCTCAGGACCCCCAGTTTGCCAGTTGTTATTCCTGGGAGTGAGAACTCATTTTTGAGATGCTCCCCTTGGTCACTGGGGCAGTTGCGGGCCCACGGGGAGGGTCTTCTTGCATTGAGCTCTCTAGTAACCATGTTAACACCTAACTCTCCTTCTTTCTTCCAGGGGCCGGGCTAGAGCGACATCATGGTATTCCCCTTACTAAAAAAAGTGTGTATTAGGAGGAGAGAGAGGAAAAAAAGAGGAAAGAAGGAAAAAAAAGAATTAAAAAAAAAAAAGAAAAACAGAAGATGACCTTGATGGAAAAAAAAATATTTAAAAAAAAAAAAAAGATATACTGTGGAAGGGGGGAGAATCCCTTAACTAACTGTGAGGAGGGGCCTGCTTTGGGGAGTAGGGGAAGGCCCAGGGAGTGGGGCAGGGGCTACATATTCCCTCTGGGGATTCGCCATGGACACATCTCAACTGTGCAAGCTGCTCCCTGTTTTCCCTGCTCCCCGTCACCCTCTTTGGGCCTGCGCAAGGGTAGGTGGGCACGGGTGGTAGGAGGGCTTTTTTTTACCCAGGGCTCTGGAAGGACACCAAACTGTTCGGCTTGTTTCCTTCCCTCGTCTTCTCCCTGCCTTTTGCAGTCCCTGCCTGCCTGCTCCTGTCCTACCAGGTCTACGCCCACCCCACCCTTCTTCCCTCGGGCTCCTGCCCCTCCAGTTTGCCTGGTGATCTATTTTGTTTCCTTTTGTGTTTCTTTTTCTGTTTTGAGTGTCTTTCTTTGCAGGTTTCTGTAGCCGGAAGATCTCGTTCCCAGTGGCTCCAGTGTAAATTCCCCTTACCCCTGGGGAAATGCACTACTTTGTTTTGGGGAGTTTTGGGGTGTTTTTGTTTTTCAGGTGTTTTTGTTTTGTTTTATTTTTTTTTTTTTCTTTACCTTTTTTTCCCTTTTATTTGGAGGGAATGGGAGGAAGTGGGAACAGGGAGGTGGGAGGTGGATTTTGTTTATTTTTTTAACTCATTTCCAGGGGATGGGAATTTTTTTTTAAATAATGTGTCATGAATAAAGTTGTTTATGAAAAAATTGTTTGGCACTTTGGGTGTAAATACCTTTTATATATCAGTTCTCTTAAGTCACAGATGGTTGTTTAGGGAGGAAGTACTGGTGTTTTCAAGAGGGTTGCCAATTGTAAGTTAAGTAAGTTAAGGTAGGAATTAAATTACAACTAGCTGTAATGCATGATGGGTATTCTGGCCAGTGAAAGAATTAAGAGCGTAGGCGGCAGTGGACCTTTAGTCTGAGCACTGGGGAGGCAGGTGGATCTCAGTTTGAGGCCAGCCTGGTCTACAGAGCAAGTTCCAGGACAGGTTCCAAAGCTACAGAGAAACTTTTGTCTTGGGGTAAAAAAAAAAAAAAAAAAGTGATGGTTGGCTACAAAGCAGTGTATTCCTGGCTGATAAACAGAACTGCTTGTCTCTTTTTGAAGTTCTGGTGGTTCAAGAGCCTACCTTCCCCAGTGCCTGGATTGTACCCATGCACTGTTCCTAGACAGAATCACATTGCTTGGGAGGCAGAGGCCAGTGCATCTCCCCAGGTCAGCTACAGCTACTTAGATCTTGTCTGAAAACAAGTATGTTCTGACAAAACCTGAGTGCAGTGACTTGACTCCCTCCGTTACCATTTTCTCTTGTCAGTTTGGGTCTTACATAACTTTGTACCTCTATGAATTTAAGAACTGCAAAATGAGATCAAGTGTAATGACATCACTCTGTGAGCCAGGCATATTACTCCACACTTTTGTTTTTGAAGACAGTCTTCTGTGTAACAGTCCTGACTCCCAGAACTCAATTTGTAGGACAGGCTGGCCTGGATCACTTGAGATCAGCTTCCCTCTGCCTCCTGAGTGCTGGGATAAAAGGCATGTACCACTTTTACCCATCCTGTTTACACTGAATCAGCTCTCAGGAAGCAAGGGTAGGCAGATCTCTGAGTTAAGAGGCCAGAGAGGGCTGTAGTTATGTTGTAATGTCAGACTGAAATCTTGGGTACTATGTCTAGTATTAAGATGTGTTACCAAGAAAAGGTTTTAGGGGTTTATGACTTTTGCCTGTCTATCATACTTGTACTACCTGTGGAGGCCACAAGAGGACTGGTCCTATCAATGCTGGGAATCAAACCTGGCCCTTCATCCCTTTAATCCCAGCAAACCCAAGTGGATCTCTGCATTAGAGACCAGCCTGGTCTTCAGAGTGAGTTCCAGGACAGTCAAGGAAAAACTGAGAAACCCTGTCTTAGAAAAAGACATGCTGTACCCTCAGGTATTGACAGTCAGGGCTCTTAGCCACTCCAAGCCAAGATGTATTTTAGCCTCTGTCTGTTCCACCATTTACTAGTTCTGATAATGCCTTACCTGGGATCTACATGCACTTCAGAACTTAAAAAGCTGTCCACGAAGCCCTAAATCTCTCACGTTTTTACCTCTTGAAAAGATCCCCTTCTTGAGATAAAGCTGGAATATGTGATCTCTGGAGATTTCTGCAGAGGCTGATTAGCAGGAAGCAGTCTAAAATTAAGTATTAGAACAATGGGAACTTTGTGGTGGTTGACCTGGGACCAACCCCAGCATTTAGGATTGCTTAGATGTCTAATCTAGCCCGCACTAGAAAGTGTGACCCTGTTTCTGTTGTTTTCTGTTTAAATTGTTAGGAAGAAGTCATGTGTCCCAAAGCGCCCATGGAGGTCAATAGGTCAACTTTGTGAAGCTCTGGAATCAAACCCTTGTCAGGTTCCATGACTGGGGTTCATGACCATGAGGTGCCAGGCCTAGTGGTACATGCATTCAGTCCCAGCACTTGGGAGGCAGAGGCAAGTATATCTCTGATTCATGGCCAGCCTGGTCTACGTAGTTCTGGACAGCCAGAGCTACATAGTGAGATCCAGTCTCAAAAAAAAAAAAAAAAAAAAAAAAGAATGTGGGCCTGGTGGTGGTGGCACACACCTTTAATCCCAGCACTCAGGAGACAGGCAGGCAGATCTCTGAGTGCAAGGCCAGCCTGGTCTACAGAGTTACAAGACTATATCACAGAGAAACCCTGTCTTGAACAGCCCATGCCCCAAGGTGGGGGTGGGCATGTGAAACGCTAGACTTGTACAAATAAATACTGTTCTAGTCTCACCTATCCACTAGGGGGCACTAAATAGTTCTGAAAGATCCCTAGGAATTGTTTTGAGACAAGGTCTCACTATATAGCTATGGAAGGCCAGAGTGGCCTGACACTCAGATCTGCCTACTTTTACCTCCCATTACTGTGTTTTAAGACATGCTCCCAGAACAAATAGTTTTTGTGAACTGTTTTGGTTTTCTTACTACTATGGCCTGGAACTCACAGATCCTCCTGCCTCTGTCTCCTGCATACTGGGATTAAAGGTCTGCACCTCTACGCTTAGGTATACTTTTTCCTAACACCAATTCAGTTAAAGAAGTTAACTGGGTTGTCTTGGTTTGTCTTTATCACAGACCCTCACCATAGAGTAAATTCACCAACTCTGTTAGGCATAGTGCTCTATGACTTTAATCCCAGCACTCAAAAGGCAGATCTCTGTCAGTTCGAGGCAATCCTGGCCTACAGAGTGAGTTCCAGGACAACCAGAGCTACATTTAAAAAAAAAAAAAAATAGCTCACAAATTTCTCACTGTTTTCCTCTCTAGGCTTATTGATAATCACTTATTCAACCAAATATTTATTGAACACTTCCCAAATGTGGGTTCTATAAATTTGTTATAGAAAAATAGTCATTCTGTAAAGGGTTCTTTACTGAAGAATGGTGTCCATCATACCTCTGCTTTCTATGCCACCAAAACCTTCCAAAACAAAAAATCCCTGGGTTTTAAAATTTGTTCTTACATTTATTCATTGTGTGGGGGCAAGGGGTCATTTGTGTGGCAGTTAGGACCATGACCATTTAGGCTCTAGGAATTGAGCTCAGGTGGCTGAACTCAGGAGCAAGTACTTTCAGATGTGAGATGGGGGAAGGGGGTGGAGGGGGTGGAAGAAGAGGAGGGAGGGGGAACTAGGATTGGAATGTAAATAATAAAGTATCTAAAAAAAAAAAAAAAAAAGAGGAAGCACTTTCATCCACTGAGCCAAAACTGAGAAATCAATTTTTGTTGCTTATATAATATGCTCAGTCTATGGTATGGTATTTGGTTCTAGCTGCTGCGGTTATAGGGATGAACCACCACACCTGACTTTAGAGCTAACACTTTTTCATTATTATGAGAGGGTACATACGTGTCATGGCCCTGGTGGACAACTGTGGAGACAGTTCTGTTCTGTGCTAGCTTTACATAGGAAGCCAGGGTAGAATTTAAGTCGTCAGGCCTGGCACCAAGCACCTTCATGCTCTGTCATCTTGTTGGCCCTGGGAGCTGTCATTTTATACTGCTCTTATGTTCTGAAAATCCAGTACTTTTTTCAAAATGAGATCTCACTATGTAGCCCTGACTGGCCTGGAACTTGCTTTGCAGACCAAGCTGGCCTCAAACTCAAACCTGCTATGGTCTGCTATGGTTTGTAGCCCCAAATTTACATATTGAAACCTATTCCCCAGTGTGAGAATCTCTGGGAGCTGGGTTTTTCACAAGAGCTCTGCTTTTATAAAATTAGTGCCCTTCTCCAAAAACACCACTGTGAATTTTCTCCCACTTTCTACCCTGAGATACAGGACAATGTCTCTGGTCTATACACCAAACTGACCCATACCCTGCCTTTACTCCCCAGCCTCCTTCAAAACAGAGAGAAGCCACTGTATGCACTTTGTTGTATGATAGTTTGTTTTCCTTCTTTTAAACTTGTCTGTGTTTTCTATACAGAGTGTAATTATTTGTCCTAAGAGTTTTCAGTCAGTTCAACTGAACAAGATGAGGAACATGTGCTCCTCTCAAACCCGAGACCAAAGCAGACATGGGTAGCTAGCTAATTATTGCAAAAATTGGTTGCATGGTGAGCAGATGATGTTGTCTCGAGAAGGCAAGTAGTATATTTCTTGTCACTTTACTTATTTTTATGTGCACTGGTGTGAGGGCATCAGATCATCTGGAACTGAAGTTACACAGAGAGTTGTGAGCTCTCATGTGGGTGCTGGGAATTGAACCCAGATCCTCTGGGAAAGCAGTCAGTGCTCTTAACCATTGAGCCATATCTCTAGCCACCCTTCATGTCACTTTAAATAACTTAAAAATAGTTTTAAAGAATGACATATTACTGTGTGTTGGGGGACAGGGCTGTACCATAGTGCACACATTGACATCAGAGGACAACTTAGAGTCAGTTCTTCTGTCCCATTTTGTGGGTTCTGGTGATTGAATTTAGGTTGTCAGAACCAGTAAGGAGCAATTTCACTGGCTCATTTCATACAACTTTGTTTTTGTTGTTAGTGGTGGTTTTTGTTTTTTGTTTGTTTGTTTTTCAAGACAGGGTTTCCCTGTGTAGCTTTGGAGCCTGTCCTGGAACTAGCTCTTGTAGTAGATCAAATCAGGCTGGTCTTGAACTCACAGAGATCTGCCTACCTCTGCCTCCCAAGTCCTGGGATTAAAGGCATGCACCACCACTGCTCAGCTTCATTCATCTTTTTGTTTTGATTTTGGTTTTTCAAGACAGGGTTTCTCTGTATTGCTTTGGAGATTGTCCTGGAACTCACTCTGTAGACCAGATTGATCTCAAACTCAGAGATCCACCTGCCTCTGCCTCCCAAGTGCTGGGATTAAAGGCTTGAGCCACCAAGGACCAGCTTTCATACAACTTTTTAACATTGGAAATGCACCCTTTATAGCCTCTTGATTTTCCTCTCAATAGTCCATTATGACTCTTAGTTGTAAATCCAACTAACACATTTATAAAGCCCATATTTCAACCAGTACAAAAAGAGTAGTCATTTCTCTTATTTGCCTGAAAACTATTTCCTTGAAATTCTTGGAGGTTCCTAATGAATTTAGTATTAGAGGAATAGCTGGGTGGTGGCACACATCTTTAATCCCATCAATCATGAGACAGAGGCAGGAAGATTTCGGAGTTTGAGACCAATC